AAGCTGAAAATAAAAAAAAATTATTAACAATAAATGAAACTGGAAATTAAATGATTCCAAACCAAGTTACGTCACGACGTTTCGATTGTTAGTATCCAGAATGGTCTTCGGGTTATAACTGGACTTATTCCTCCGAGATCTGACTATTTATAGGTCATTCGAGTGCTTTTACCTATCCCCTCTTCCCTCACTACGCTTCATTGGTTTTAGCGGCAGATGACCGTTTGGCGGGGGTTGGTCGTTTTCCGCTTGATTAGAGGTTTCCATATGTTACGCTAGCTTGGCTGAATGCATCGATGGACAACATATATGCGGCTTTTCGAATATTCTCCTAAACCAGGGCAACCTTGTCTTATGGAGCTCCTAATGTCAAAATTTTTTGAGAGATACTGAGGAATTTGCAGTGCTATAAATATTTCTTATTGTCTGAATAATGTTATTTTTGAATCCCATCGCAGACATAAATTTCCAAAGATAGGAGTGGTTTACCCTATCAAAAGCCTAGTTAAAGTTATATTAATTATGACCCCCTGGAACTGTTTGTCTTTCTTCGCATGTAGTATTAAATTCCTTATCAAAAGCAGATTATTGAGAATTGATTATACTGTCCCCCAATTCTCTTCGTTACCTAAACTGTTTGCTATAACATTCTCAAATCTTTCAGCCAAAATTTTCATAAACACTTTATAATCGTTATTTAGTAAGGTAATAGGTCTCCAGTGGTTCAGTTATAGAGGATTCTTTATTTGAAAATGGTTTAACATACCCAGACAAAAGTTGTTTTTTTTATTTCAATATGAATATCAATGTGAATTTCTACAAAATAAATGAGTCGTCAATCGAACAAATCATTGATTTTCATAGATCAGACACAAAGTAACTTCATAAAAACAACAAAACATATTGAAATATAACTGATAGCATTCTGTACATGAAAAATAGTTGGAACTATCTATCATTAGGGTATTTAAATCACGCAATAGACCCCGAAACAATGACTTTAGAATTGTTTGTTGGTTTGTCTGCTTGTCTTGCGATTGTGCGCGCTTATCATGAATGAAAAGGTCAATTCAAGGATCCACATCAAATATTCGTTGGGAAAAATGGTATGAATGTACTATTTATTCAATTTTGCCGTAATTTCAGATAACTATATACAGGGCTATTCAAATTCATTACTGTACATGGGGATCTCGTAAACGATGAGAGATAGAGTGTCGGTTAAATTGAGGCAAAGTTGCGTATTTTAGAGATCTATTCAATGATGTGAAGAAATCAAATATAGCTCTTTTTGTTCTGGAGATATACAGAAAAAACAAAAAATCCCAAATTATTTTTTTGCCTATATCTTCTTTATTCGCTGACATATTGAAAATCTGTCCACATTTTGCTACTGGCACTTGATGTGGGCTCTCAGAATATATCCATGTATCTTTTATACAGGGTGTCATCTGACTTGGGCGACCCCCATCTTTGAATTTTTAAATACGGACCTGTATCTTTTGTTGTAGTTTTTGGATCTTAGACGTTAACTTCATACTGAGAAATTAAATTCAACTTTATATTTCGTGATTTTTCAGTAATATTCGATTATAATTGTGTGAATTATTCCCTTTTAAATTACGGCCCTGGAAATTGGTTGACTGAGTCATCGTCCATAGATATTCTAATATCTATGGACGATGACTGAGTTGAATAAAAACACAATAGCAACTTTCACGTCTCCCTATGCACCGTAGAGTTTCTCGAGATTTTTTTTTCATTTTTAGGTACCTATTCATATTTTTTCCATTGCTAATAAGAAAACTTTTTATGATTATCTGAAACATATATACAACAAAATTATATTATATGTGTTTTGATGAGCAGAAAAAAAATGGTAGCAATAATAGCATCCGAAGCGAACACTATAATTATAATGAAAATTTAAATGAAGTAAGTAACTTATATACACAAAAAAATTAATTGTGCAATAAATGTTCGAATGTTCGAATGTCAAGTTTCATCACGATCGGTTGAGTGATGTAGAAGTTTATCACTTTCCAACCAACCAACCAACAAACATCCATTTTTATATATTAGATTTAAATTCGTGTTAGGAATCACACGTTAAAAAGTAAGACCTCGTTAATCCTTAGCTCGCACAAGTTTCGACTTCTGAGGGCTGTTGTTCGTAGGGGTGCGACAGCTGATTAACGGAAAAACAGATTTTAAACAGATAATTGGATTCATCCTTCACTATCCCACACATTATTGTGGAATGGTATTTGACTCGCCAATATTCTACGCAATTTCCTTGTACTATGAACGCCTCTGGCATCGTAAATAACTCGTATTATGTAAACCGACCCAGTTGATCTTGATATTAGATTGCATCAATAAATTAAACCGAAGTCAACAGTCTCAGTCGATCGGGTGAAGATGAACTTGGTTCTTATCTTGGTCTTTGGGTTACTGAGCATTTCTAGTGGTGCTCGTATACTGGGTGTTTTCCAAGTTCCGGCGGTTAGTCACCATAGTGTGTTCCGATCGTTATGGAGAGAACTGTCCTTGAGGGGACACAACGTTACCGTAGTGACACCTTTTCCACTGAATGACGATTCTTTGGTGAACCTTACCGAGATTGACGTTAGCGATCCAAACAAGGAAATCTTCGAGAGGCATGGATTCCAGTTTTTCATGAACAAGGAGAACTATGTCCAGAGCAAGATTCCGAAGATATTTGCCCTGAATAATGAAATGGCCGAAGCTGTTCTCAGCAACAAGGAGTTCATCAAACTTTACAACAACAGTCAGCAACAGTTCGACGTGGTTATAGCACAGACGTACGTTACTCCGGTTTTGTACAGCCTATCAGCGAAGTTTGGGGTTCCACTCATAGGAGTATCTTCGATGGGAGGCTACATCGGCAGTCACTTCGCAATGGGCAATCCCCATCCCCCATCTTTATACTCAGAAATGTTTCTTCCCTACCACGGTCAGATGACGCTTCCAGAACGAGTAAAAAGTACTCTGTACTACTTTTGGGCCAGGTTTTATCGTACGTTCATAGCATTACCTAAATGCGACGCCATTGCTAAGAAGTACTTGGGGAAAGATTTGCCGTATATAGGAGATATTGAGAAGAATATGAGTTTGCTTCTCTTGACCACCAATCCATTTCTTTATACCCCAAGACCTACGGTACCGACTGTTATCAGTTTGGAACAACTGCACATCAAGCCTGTTAAACCACTTCCTCAGGTAAATCAGTAATTTTTTTTCCAATATATTAAGAATATACTATTTTAGAAGGATATTTTCCAAATCTTTTCCAAAAACTATTCTGATTGCAATCTAGCGATCAAAAAAATTTAGCTTCTAGAATGAATCATATGAAACAACAGTATCAATTTGAATTGATTGCTGCTCCTTTATCTGCTCGGATATCAGAATGGGGCCCAGAGAAAATAATGAATCATACAGTGTCGTTCATTAAAGGAAATCAACTTTCCCTTACAGTCTAATTCGTATTTGCCATTTCACATAATTTCAGTTAGCCTTAATAGAAAATAATGATTGTGGCGAAAAACGTTTTTTCTTGCAAATCATTACTATTAAAATCAGATTGTCTTGAAAAAAATTGGATTACATAATCAATTGAAATATTTCAATGCTATATTTTGTTTTCAACTTTTTAAATGTTTGATCACATATAAATGAATGAAAATCAATAGTTTCCAATCTTAACAATGATATATACATTATTGTTCACCTATAGGCAGTACATAGTTATCGAAAATTATAATAATCGTGAAATATCTCAAAATAATTAACACAATATTTATATTTATGTTTACAAGATATTCATTTATAGTTATTAATAATTGTTATATTTGAACAGTTGATCAAGTTAATTGCAGGAATAGAATCATCATCAAAACTAATGTTTTGGTGACTTATCAAAACATTTGAATTGTATGTACATTGATCCGTTTGGTTTACTTTTGGTTGAATTGAAGATTATATTTTGTTGGCCGTATTGGTTTTATTTTTGACGGATTCGTTTATGTAGCGTTTTGCCATGGCTGTAGACTTCCATCCACCATGTCTTTTGAGGGCAGTAATATTCCCGCCTGCGTCAACTAGTACTGTTGCAGAAGATCTGTGGAAACTGTGACCAGAATATCGTTCTGGATTCGTTAATTCGAGGAAAGCAGCTATCCTTTCCCATTTTCGTGAATTTGTTTATCCTAATTTTCTGAGTTGTACATTTACTATTTTGGTAATTTTAAAGGAAAGTGTCACTAGTTACATGACTTGGTCGAAGACGTATATATGTCATGTATATTTTGTGGAAGTTATTCGTAACAGTGAATTTTCGGCGAGTTTTGGTTTTGATTTTTGGCACATTAACAAAAAAAAGCTGTTCCAAGATCTTGTGAATAGGTTATTTTATTTTGAACAACTCATTATTTCTATAAGCACCCATTATTGTCATTATAAGCAACCTTGCATTACATAATGTAATTAAATAACTATGTGAAAGATTTACCTGATATCTTACCTTTGCTACTAGGAATGCATCGTCAGATGCTTCAGTTAAAAAAATTTTGATATCTTTGCTAGAAAAAGTTTTCGCCTTTTCAGGCTGAAAACCTTCTGATTTTCGTTTCAGTTTTTTTTTTATAATCTTTTGAAATAATACCTTGATCTAAGGTGATCGTACTTCTAAGCATTGAATGAGTGGTCCATAATGTTGAAAATTTATATTTTGCGGACAATTTAGTAAAGTATACTAACAATGAATTTCATTAATTCAGACTTTCATTGTCTGATATTATATAAAATGATTTGAAATCCCTGAAAGAACTAAAAAAGAAGAATTGAAAATGAATAGCCGAAAGAACAAGTATATTAAGCAAAAAACCTGAGATGAAATAATAGTGAAATGAAATACAAGTGAAAATAGAACAATTGAACAAAAAATTAAAATAAAAAAGTTGAGAAATTTCAAGCCAAGTAACTTCACGATGTTTCGATTGTTAGTATCCACAATCGTCTTCGGGTGATGACTGGACTTATTCCTCCGACTTATTCGCCCCCCCATGCCCCCTCCCGGGTTGAGTGCCCTGAAGTAGAAGCTTCCCCCCCAGCTAGTTAGCGAGGCGAGCCTACTACCCCACTCCATCCACTGCTCAACCTGCTCTCCGAGCGGTCCTCAACTTACTGATGGGCACTTCAGCAAGATTGACATCTGACCTCTTTTGGTCGAAAGCCATCCTTCAGGTGCTATTCTTTCTGATCGGTTGAATTATTTTGTCGTGACTATTCCTAACTGAATTCTTGCATGGAGGCTCCCAAAAACTAACCGGCGGCTGTTGCTTGCGTCGGGCATTCCTCAGTGAATCCAAGGATATTTGAATCGCGGTCGAGTTATTCTGCGGTGAACTTGCTGAAAGAAAGTCTGATTGATATGCTCACCGGAGTCGCCTGACGGCGACTCGTAGGGGCGGTCGTAGATTCTTTTTTGTCGGCCTTGGGTGTTTGTCCCTTTCTCGGAATCTGGGGTCATCCATATTCAACGCATCGTGTAGATCCCGTAGCGCTGGGTTGTTGTGCCATCTGATTCTGTTGAACACGCTTTCTGCGTGTTCTCTCATATACACGTCCACATATTGCGTGTCCAGGTCTAAGTCTCTGTATATAAATCTGTTGGGGATATAGTACGTTGCGTTCACGGCGGCCCTTACGCTCGCGTTCATGAACGACTGTATCTTTTTCCTGTATATTTGTGCGCACTGGCCCCAGGCAGTGCAGGAGTTCAGTATTATGGGCATCAGAACGGTTTTGAGCGGACTAATTCCTCCAAGAGATGACTATTTATGGGCCATTCGAGTACTTTCACTTATCCCCACATAGCAATAGAAAAAATTATTAACAAGAAATGAAACTGGAAATTAAATGATTCCAAACCAAGTTACGTCACGACGTTTTGATTGTTAGTATCCAGAATCGTCTTCGGGTGATAAATGGACTTATTCCTCCGAGATCTGATTATTATTTATAGGTCATTCGAGTGCTTTTACCTATCCCCTCTTCTCTCACTACGCTTCATTGGTTTTAGCGGCAGATGACCGTTTGGCGGGAGTTGGTCGTTTTCCGCTTGATTAGAGGTTTCCATATGTTACGTATCTCTACGCTAGCTTGGCTGAATGCATTGATGGACAACATATACGCGGCTTTTTGAATATTCTCCCAAACCAGTGTTCCTCCTTGTGGATGATTTCAGCTTGAGCCCACTTGATGTTATGATGATGAGTAAACATGCTCTGCTATTCCTGATTTGCTGGTTTCTCCTCGCTGTGTGTGTTTCTTGTGCTCAGCAATGCGCATTGCCGCATTGCTGTTTATTGATAAAGTACTTAATTTTGAGTTTTTCGCGACAAATTATCTGGAGTCGTGGGCATATTGATTGAAAAATTGACACTTTCACTCAATAAGTCGAAAAGTAACTTTAGTAAACAAAAATTGCCACACAAGAAGAGGTGGCATCGACCCTCCTGGTAGAAACAACCCGCCTTTAAGGGTCAACCTTGATTTTTTTTACAAATTGATCGAGCATTTCAATGTGTGATTTGTGAATTCTACCCATAAGTTGAAGAGAAATGAAATGAGTGAAAAAAATGCGAAAAACGGTTGACCTTGTAGGCAATTGAATGGAAAATTTTGAACGACACAATATATTAAACGTATTGATTTTCGCCCGCTTTATCTTTTTTGAAAATTTTTAATTTTCTTCAAATTCAAAGTTAGTGCAAATAAAATGTTTTACTATTAAGAGAAAAAGGTATGTAATGGGACGAATTTTTTGGAAAATTGAATTAGTGGATTTGGGATGTCATTGTACTTTCGAAAAAAAAAAAATGTGCCCCACTTTTTGAGTCTACGTATTACGAACTTATTTCTCGTGAGTTGATTCCCTTTCTATGTTATTTCAAGGAGTAAAGTATATTTTACAATATTTCTGATTGGGTATTTTGAGATCTTATTGTTTATTTCAGGCAATTGTCACTTTTTTTTCAAATTAACTCCTCTTTGTTCTAGGATTTGAAAGAGTTTTTAGATGAGGCCAAGGAAGGAGTGATCTATTTCAGTTTGGGTTCAAATGTTAAGAGTGTCAATATTCCTGACAGAGTGAGAGACACTTTAATGGAGGCTTTCTCAGACTTACCATATACAGTTCTGTGGAAGTATGAATCTGATATTTTGATCAACAAACCAAAGAATGTGCACATCAAGAAGTGGCTTCCACAACAAGATCTGTTGGGTGAGTATATTACATATCATTCATTTGAAGGGATTCTAAATAGCATATTTTCAGCACATCCAAACATCAAAATGTTCATCAGTCAAGGTGGTTTGCAGTCGACAGAAGAAGCAGTTTCCAGAGGTGTGCCCATATTGGGAATACCTTTCATTGCCGACCAAGAAATGAATATAAAACGACTGGCTCAACTGGGAGTTGCAGTTGGGTTGGATTTTGTCACAGTCACTAAAGAAGAAATCCTGAATGCTGTTAAGGAGATTATAGATAATCCCAAGTATGTACCCATCACACAGTTATTGAATACTTTCCTGAACAATTCCAGTAGTGAATTCTAGAGAACGTTCAATAATGAAAATCGATACTCCGAAACCACTTTTGCCTCCAGTTAGCTACCTTCCAACAAGCATTTCTCGAAAGTATTCATGAAGCCTGTGACGGAAAACTTGAATCTCTGATGTAAATAAAAAAATCGAACCATTTTATAGGCATGAATGAAAGTAAATTCAAGTATCAATAATGAAAACAATAATTATCTTAGTAAATGAACTAAAACAGACAAAGACTTCAACTTTGGAAACATTTTCGTGTGGTGATGAAAAATACTTTGAAATTTATTGAATATTTCATACTTATATCTTTTTAGATATTTTATAGATGGAAAGTACGAAATTTCTATAAATTTCTCATTCCAGATCTAGATTGATTTTCACCTACAACAGATCTAGGTTGATTTTCACCTACAAGAAATGTGAACTGAATATACATTTATATTTTTCCCCAATTTTGCATCAATATTCTATACATGAATCAAACAAACCCTGGATTAAAATAGGTCATTTACTTATTTATTTATTCATTCATTACAGGGGATAACCCAATTTAGAAATAATACAAAATACAATTGGAACATATAATATCATGCTCTAACATCATTTCAAACCTTCCTTATCTTATGTACATCCATATAGAATAAGTCAAGATTATTTGAAAACTTGTTTGAAGATATGTTGATTCTGTTGAGAGGAAAATGATAGGCGTGATTGGTTGAGTGGACTGAAATTGTAAAAATCTCATAATTACGGGTATTATAAATAACGATTTTCAATGAAATAGTCTCAAGTATTACCTGAGATAATTTTTTGCTGGAATATTACATCACTGACACGTCGTCTGTGATAAAATGGCTGAATATTAATGATATTTTTTACTTAAACATACTCATATTGCTCTCTGGGTAACCTCCCATGATAAGCACATCATCTGAAAAGTTTTTCACGCACTCTTTCAATTTGTTTGACAGAGCTGTCATAGTGTGGAGACCAGACAATGGACCCATACTCTAGTATGGATCTAACATGAAAATAGTAGAGTATCTTCATTGATGTGGGTTTATTAGTGTGGTATAGTTTTTCTGTAACTGAATTATAAAACAATAAGGTGGAAATTTCTCGAAAAATTGTGGAGAACTGAGCGATAAAAATTTTTTGTTTCGAGAAACCTGGATTCTGGGTAATTGAAGTAACAAATAATAAAGCGAATCGAATGTATAGAATGGTATATTATTCAACTAGTTAGAAAGGTGACGATTGCTCGTGTAATTTCAAAAATCCAGTTGAAAGATTGAACCATTGAAATGAAATTTCCAATTTAAAATCAAACAAATATTTTCTTGCAGAAGAATTATCAATGATATCTCTCAAATTATATTTTAATAAAACTGAAAGAACATTTACAGAAATTTGTTGAAAATATCTCTTTAAAATCTGTTTTTTGTTAACCATTCGTCGCCCTTTCGAGAAAAAAACCAAAACTTGGTGCGAGTTAAGAATGAAGGAGGCATTGCCTTTCTCAATTTCTCAGCACGGCCATCTGGCTCGAACTACCGTTTCACATAGTGATCGATTGAAACGTATATAGAACGAACCACTCACGCTAACCAATCGGCTACTGTGCCTCCCGGAATGTGCACGAAAATTTCATTTGAAATTTGTTACTACTCCGTTACTAGTCAAGATCTGTAACTTGAAAACTGTGGGTCGTACATTTTGAGCTTATATTAACTGTTTCTTGACGATTTCAATGCTTGACAACAGCTTTACAAACACTATTCCTGAAAAATATCACATCAAGAAATCGAATTGAAATTAAAAAAAATATTTCATGCCATTTCAATATCAAAAATTAATTTTTGGATAAGCAGGGAATCTATTTCACTCAGAATTTGTTTTCATCAGGAATCTTTTTTGTTTCTATACAATATACGATTCTCAGATAGGAAAGAAGATAGGAAATTGAGAATTTTTGTTAATTTTTCAGTACAATTTCTGGAGAAACTACCTTATAATTTCGAAAAATGTACTTCAATACAGATGACTTCACCAGAGAAAAAACAGATGACTTCAACATAGAAATGAATATTAGGAGTATTTCCATTTTACACACCCTGAAGACTTTTACCACTGGAATTAAATTGAAAAAATTGATTTCTGCTAACAATCAATTGAAACAACTTTTCCAACACCACATCAAATGTGTTTCTATCTCCATTCGGGATGAATGCCTCCGTGGTTTGGAACTGCATCCTAACGTTTCGTCAGCACGAGTGGCTGGTTTCTTCAGAGGTTTATTCATCTTGATGATTCGCCGATGACTGGTTGTTTCTAGTTCATAAGTTGTATTTATGTTGACTCTGGTACTTGTTGATGCGTTACTATTGGCTGAAGTGTTATTACCGCTTAATGACGTAACAATCCATTGCACTGTTGCTACTTTAGCATCTTTCAGTATGGGATTTCAAATCGGGTTAAGTGTTACCACCTGCTCTTTTCTGTTGTAGTTTTCCGTATGCTTATGGATTTCTATGGCTTCCCGTACAAGCTGTACAAATTAGCGTCCTCGGGACATTATGACAGTCAAAATGATCTTCTGTGGTCGCTAATTTGGTTAGCTAAACGCGCGTCGTGAAAGTCATTTTTGTTCTGGTGTTGGAAAAATATTTTCAACAGATTCATTTCACGCCATTAGGAGTATTTCCATTTTACACACCCTGAAGACTTTTACCACTGGAATTAAATTGAAAAAATTGATTTCTGCTAACAATCAATTGAAAACACTTTCCCATCACCACAACAAATGTGTTTCTATCTCTATTCGGGTTTGAATGCCTCCGTGGTTTGGAACTCCATCCTAACGTTTCGTCAGCACGAGTGGCTGGTTTCTTCAGAGGTTTATTCATCTTGATGATTCACTGATGACTGGTGATTTCTAGTTCATAAGTTGTATTTATGTTGACTCTGGTACTTCTAGTTGATGCGTTGCTATTGGCTGAAGTGTTATTACCGGTTAATGACGTAACAATCCATTGCACTGTTGCTACTTTAGCATCTTCCAGTATGGTATTTCAAATCGGGTTACCACCTGCCATTTTCTTTGTAGTTTTCCGTATGCTTATGGATTTCTATGGCTTCCCGTACAAGCCGTACAAATTAGCGTCCTCGGGACATTATGACAGTCAAAATGATCTTCTGAGGTCGCTAATTTGGTTAGCGAAACGCGCGTCGTGAAAGTCATTTTTGTTTTGGTGTTTTCAATAGATTCATTTCACGCCAGAGACTGAGATATGTTTCTAGAAATATTCTGAATCTGTCTGTTATGTCTCAGAGAGAGATCTAAGGAATGAATGTTCTTGGAACGTATATTCCATTACTTCATTTTCATACTGTTATTTCACAAACGTAAAAAAAAGTTTTTACTTCACTCAAAGCTTGCACGTTGTTCTATTGCGAATATATCACATACACTTCGCTTCAATTCTCATAAGAGAATTATCAATTGAATTTTTTCAATTCATTATTCTGATGACCTCATCAACTGAGGCCAATTTGGAAAAAATCTAATTTTTTTGAAAACTTTTTCAAGATGTTCAGCTGTTAAGGAGAAATTATTTTTAATTTTTTTCCTACTTCATTAGATAGTGCTAAAACTCGGTTTTTCGAAACATTCACAAAGAAATTGCCTGTGCAGTGATGTATACAAAAACTCATTTTAATATATTCAAGAAACACTCAATTGTAATATTTTTCATCACACAGGTTACAAAAACTCAACATGTGTTTCGCTATACCATAGCTTGTTGAAGCGTGTCTATACTAATTGAGTATTACATATAATTCTCTCTGTTTCTCTGAAAAACCTCACAATATTCTCCGATTGTATTTGACGAGAAGTGAAAACTGATTGCAATTGCAGGTACAAACAGAATATGAAAAAACTACAAACACTATGGGTGGACCAGCCCATGACATCCATGGAGAGGGCGATGTGGTGGATCGAGTACGTCATCAGGCATAAAGGGACGAAACATCTTAGAAGCCCCACCGTTGATGTCTCTTGGATAGAATATCTATTATTAGATGTATTCGCTGTGCTTATCTCAGCATTAGCTGTATTCACATTTTTAGTTATTGCAATAGTTAAATTTCTTGTTAAGTGTTGCTCCAGTAAAAAGAAATCTAAGATTCATTGATTCAAAAGTATTGGCGAAGTATGAAAAACAACGAGATACTTAGAAAGTATAATTCTGTAGTTTCAATATAGTATTATAAAATATTTTTTCAACACAATTTTGTGATCTAAGTTTTTACATTTTCTTCTTCCGCAGTGAAAATAATGGAAATTATAAGGACTCGACATAGAAACTTCATATCTTGTACTGAGGTTAACTATCGAAATATATCACCTTATCATTCTGATGAACGTAAACTCAAAATTGTCCTGGCTGGGGCCTCAAAAGTGGATGTATATTGAAGAAAGATTGGAATATATGTCTAAAAATTAAAAAATTAAAATGATTAGTTTAGAATTAGTTTAGAAAAGCAGTGAATTTAGATTTCTCTATTATATCACTAGGGACATTACAAATTATTCAAACTTCAGTTAGAGTTTTGTTAGTGAAATTTTTTCTATATGGTGATTGTTCAATTTGGAGAAACTTCCTTCTGTTTTATCGTCCATTCAGTTCAGCTTCCAAAATGTGTGAATTTGTGTGGCTGAGAAGAAAAGTAATCAGTATGTTAGTTAACAAACACATCTGGGGCAAGAACTAAGTATCACTTTATTTATAAGGAGGATTTCATAATATTTTTTTCCATATCGTGGATATTAATAACATGATTCTTTTACTATTCATATTTTTAATTTTCTCACGGTAAAATTACCATTCAAACTGATAATATTCAGAGATCAAAACGTGCCTGAAGACTGTATCGAGATACATATATACAAGAAAATGAATATTTAGAAATAAAATTTCGAAGTAATCATCTCTCCCTTCATCTCTCAACGTAGGTTCTGTCTGGTTCTGAAAAACTCGACTTTGAGAACTTTTCAACTGAAAACAACATCGATGTGGCTCTAGTTCAGGAGACACATCTGAGGAACGAATCTATTGTCATTCCAAATTACAGATTCTTTCACAGAGAACGTGTTGGACGTGTTGGAGGGGAAGTTGGCATTTTTGTCAAACGATCCATTTTCTTGAGAAAATATTATATCAATTAATAATTAAAATATGAAGACACCAACCCGTTACTTGGTGAAAGTCAATAACACTTTTCATGATAATGATTACAAATATCCACAAAATTAATATGCATAATAATCAGTCAACATTCTCAATTGGTGTATTACTGAAGGATCTTTTGATACAGGGTTATCATCAAAATTTAGAAAATGATATCAGAAAATGGGTCTTTGAATATTAATAAGGATTTTGGTAATTTTTTTTTGGGAATTCCGAATTTCTCTAGGCTCTATCTAGTATAAGGTATTTCAATAACTACTGCCAGATCTCATCCTACCTCATTTTATATGTTTTTTTTTGAAACGATTAGCTAACTCTTGTATTGATACCTGATACAAAAACAAGTTATAGATATCAATGATAAAGCTTTTTGTTTTTTTTTTTTTGGTGCTATCCCGTTATGTGAATATGTTTTGATGTATTCTTCATTTAGAATATAGTTCTGATGTTCTTTTCATTAGGAATGAATGTAATTTTGTCAGACAGTAGTTGATTCAAGTTTATTAGTGTTACCTTGTTAAGTTAGTCTTTGAAGTGTTCGTCATAATTTCTCAAGCAAAATTGTTCTTAGATTTGAAAACTAAAGTTGCAAAATGTCTCTGCTCTGTTGCAGAGACATTTTTATATTTTTCCTAACAAACGATTGAATGATTTATAGTAAAAATATCCAATGGTGTCCGTTTTTTTAAATCTGTTGAATAAATATCATATGACGATATAATTTCAAGAAGAGTTTCTTCATCTTAAATCTCTAAAATGAATTTAATCATCACTATTTCTGATATTATGTGGAAGAACTTCGTCACAATTTCGATTCCAAATAGCAGAAACATCATTTTGTAATCGAAAGAGGTCTAGTCAATATTTAAGAGTCAATATTCACATGGTATGGCTGTCATAGTTTATACATTATTGAAAAATAGTTTTTTAACATTGAGGCTTACTAGAATAACAATTTATGGTAGAACTGAATGTTTTTCAAAGAAAATTCACATTTTTGGCTCCAAAATCTTTGCTAATTCGATAAAATTTGCAATGGTACCACGCCCTTCGTGGTATTAGCTAGAGGAGTAGCTGTTTTCTGATGGGTGTTAGTCCATTAACCTACAGTGCTGGGAGTTGAGACTGGACTGAACGAATTGGTCCATCAGAACATTTATATTTATTGTCTTTGGAATATAACGATGGACATACTTATGGATGCAAAAACTCCAGAATGGGTATATATGTTCTATTTTCGCATCAGAAATGTTTGGCTATGTTATATTTTGAAGATAATATCAATAACTTCTATTATTCTTTTTGAATAGAAACGTATATGTTTTTATACAAATTTTTATACGGTATGCGAAAAAATAATGTGGGAAACTTCCAAAGGAAAAAGAAAGAAACCAATTAAGATTAAAGTGAACTAAATTGATGGATGTAGATTGATGGTAAAAGATCATGAAAAATGAGGAATATAACTTTTTTCACAACTTACTTTCACGTTACTGCAGTTTCGTCCTATGAAGACATTTTCAAACGAATACAATTTTTAAAGTGAGTTTTATTCATCATTTCTCATCAAAATGAACTCTTTACAAAGATGTGTAGATCGTGTACAGAAGTCACTTTCCGAAACAAATATTTTTCATATGAAGATGGAGAGGTGGATGCCAAGAACCTTTTTCCCAACAACTTAACTTTCCTAAAAATATACCCCTTTCAATTTGATTCAATTTGAAAGGGGTATATTGGATTAATCCAAAGGAGCATATGAATGTCTTCATTCACTGTGTCGCTATTTTTAGGGTTTGAAGGCTGTCGAATTACTGCTGCTTAGCGCGTATTCATATTGTAGTTTGCTATGCTAATACATGAATCTTCAACAGGTAAATTGTCAATAACATTCGTCAATTCTTTTCTACCTGCCGTCATGTTGTGTGCAATTCTTGAACTTTTCAAAATGGAATTGTTCACAACTTCTTATTTTCTGTGTTCGTGGATTTCTATTGCCTCCCGTACCTGTCCGCTATCGTATCCCTTGTTGGAGGCAATGAGTTTCGTGTTTTCAAATATTATCCTGTGATTTCCCTCACTAAGTGCGTGTTCTACCACAGCTGACTTGTCCGTTTGGCCTAGTCTGTAGTTTCTTTCACGCTCCTTCAGCCTTGTTCCCATTGAACTTTTGGTGGTTCCGATGTGTACCTTCCCACATGTGCACAGTTTGCGATATACCCCTGCTGCTGATAGTGGGTCTCTTTTGTGTTTAGCCAACCTGAAACTCTGTTGTATTTTCTTGGTGGGTTTGAAAACCGTTTTAATGTTGTGTTTCTCCAGGAGTTTTCCAATTTCGTTTGTGATCCTAGGGATATATGGTAGAAACGGTTCATAGACATAATTGGAAAACTCTTTGAAAACACAGCATTAAGACGGTTTTCAAACCCACAAAGAAGATACAACAGACTATCAGGTCTCCAGCGATTCAAATCCAATGAGAATCTTTCTTTCTTGTGATATTATTCAGAGGTACTGAATCGGGGAATAGTGATTTTTGAAAGCTAGAAAGCGAAAGCTAAAAAGATTTTTCATCATAAATTTTATTTCGTTTATTGTCAAAATTGTTGCTTTTCTAAAATTATGTAACTCTGGGTTATACATATGAGAAATTCAGTTTTTTTTTAACAAAAAAATTTCAATGTGAACAGTTTTCGAATGATGTTTCTATTCTGAATTGTTTCAGTGAAACGTCAAAATACTTGACAGATCACAAAACGTGAAAACATTTCTATTGAGCCCGAATGCCTCAGAAGGGATGACTCAGTAGGAGAGATTGCTTTCCACTTCCGTTGACAGCTTGACCGGCAGCTACCGCATTCGCCTGGGCCTGCTTAGCAGATTCAAGAGCCTTCCTAGCTGAAGCTTGCGTCTCCTGCAGTTCTCCAGTAGCGCCCTGTAGTAAACTGAGAAGTTGATCCACTCTCTGTTTCGCTGTAACAATCATTGAATGCTGAGCCGCGTTGCTATTGGCTGCTTCGCTAGCTGCTTGGTTGGCATGTTGAGCTCCTGCTTGGGCGGCAGCTAAGGCAGCTGTTAATGTGGCTAGCTGAGCTTGAGATTGACGAGCGGTGTTACGGGCAGCTTGAGAAGTAGCTTCAGATTGCTGGTACAGCGCTAGTTCGCCTTGGAGTTGTTGCTGAGCTTCGGTAAGCTGGCGTTTGAGGTTTCCAACTATGGCTTGCTTGCCTACCACAGCTGCTTGGGCGGCTTGAGCAGCCTGAAAAAATGTTGTATCATTCAAATCGCGTCTTGGTACTTTAGTTTCGAATATGATAAAGGTGAGGATGACACTTGGAGTACCACTTATCTCTACTGGTGGTGCAAAAAGTTGTATGTGAAAATTGAACACTTCACGAAAGATCATAGAAACTGATTGTATTAGTATATTATATTCTATTCAATGGAAAGACATTTATGAAAAATAATCAATTGTTATGCTTGCCTCTTGCATCAACAGAAGATTGGATTTAGAAAATTATAAGGGTCTCAGACAGCAATAATAAAGTCTAGATGACCATCCAAAAGTAAGATATTCAAAGATTGGACAGAGAATGAAGATATATTTCAAGTCGTGACAAACTATTTGTAATAAAGGTCTCACCCCAAGAGCGGCACCTGCTAAGGTGCTCTTGATTCCGAAAGCTGCTTGACTGCCAGCAGTTTGTTGGGTTTGTACTGCTCGATCTGCTTGTACTGCCGAATTATGGGCGATACTTCCCAGTTCTGCTCCGCTGCTGTGACCTACGTCACTGGAGGTGGGGTGGAGTAAACCAGTAACATGATGTCCAGTATCGATTTTGTTATCGAAAGAATTACTGGCTTCTACCTTCTGTTCTTGACGTTTTGGATGGTATTCTTTGACACGATTTGAAGAACAAACTGTAACTAAATTGAGAATTGGTTGTTAAATTGGTATATATCAGGTTTTACCTGCAGAAGACAGAATTATATTGTAATATTCTTTTCAAACCTATATATCTCCATATTTTGAAGCACAATATCAGAGTAAACGATTCGGTTTCGCATGTCACATAAGATGAAAATCTCTTGCACGACTTCAGAAAGTGATCTGACCTATTATATTCTAGATATAAGAAGTAAGGAGTTGAAAAGACTGAATAAAATGGTAAATTGATTTCAAAAATCTGTAAGTCCAGTCTGATAATCCAGTTTGTCATGAATAGATACTGATTGCCCATCATTAAGATAGTTTGAAGAAAGTGAACTGATCTGCTTTACAACTTCGGACACGTTACCATTTATTAAAAGTTTTCATTCCAGATATCAGAGTGAATATTACTTTGTGAAGCTGGAATTTCCTCTCAGAACTTTATAGACACAAAGCAAGCACTTTCAAATTCTCCATTCCCCTTACCTTACTCAAAAATCAAATGATTGATCCTAAAAATTCCTAAATTCACAATGGGCCTACTAAATTACGTATTATTTTTATCAAGGATACTCCAACAAAATGGATTTTGACGTATTGTTGAAATAACAAACGTGTTATTGCGTTCAAATTATCATTTCGAAATTGTCCTTATGTTCATTGAATTTGATATTGCTNGGCGTGTCCCAGCGACTAGGTGTGTTTTTGCCGATTTTTCTTGTGAATGATCAGTCGTGCTGTAGTGTTTCTGGCTCGTTTCTGATGAGTACGTTTGCATATTTCATTTGCGTTAAATTCACTGTGCTCACACTTGAATTGGTGCTCTTTTTCGTTGTAAAAAAATGTCTAGCAGTATGGAGGAACTGCTTTGCAATCTGGCTGGGAGGGACAAAGCCGAGATAGTTAGCATCGTTTGCCAACTAATCTCGTGTTTTGGCCTAAACCAGGCAGACTTGCATGGCAGCGCATTGCCAGTTCCTGGAGCCAGTTGTCAAAACCTGACGGCTGCGAAACAGGGAGTGGTTAATGCTCCGACTGGTAGTAACTTTTCAGACCAAGAATCGGATACCATAAGCGTACTTTCCTTCTCCCCGTCAGCGTCGAAGAAGCGTCGTATTAGCGACGATTTTCCACCTTTACCTGAGGTATCCAGCCGCAAAGTAAGTGACTGGATAAGAAAAGAAAAGCCTAAAAAGACGAAGAGAATATCCAAAAGGGCAGTTGGCCGCATCTAGCGGCAATACACAAAATTAAGACGAAATGGAAACTGACATAAAAATCAATGACAGTGCTTCAAATTCAGGAAACACGGTAAAGACAGTTCACGGGGAGGAGCCTGGTACCCCCGCCCCCCTTAAACAAAACCAATATCCGACGGCCAAAAAAGCCAAAGTCCCCCCTATTATTGTCCGCCAGAAGGACAAATGGGTATCTCTGTTGAAGTTGATGTCACAGGAGAACATAAAGTTCTCCAAAGCCGTCAACTTGCATGACGGCATTAAAGTCCAGCCGGAGACTTCTGACGATTATCGTATGTTGTCTAGACTCCTGGTGAAGGAAAAAATTCCTCACCACACATACTCGCTTCCTGAAGAACGACAAATCCGTGCCGTCTTCAGGGGAGTGCCAGAACACCTGGCAACTGACGACGTTCGTGAGGAGCTCGAAGCCAGAGGCTTTGACCTCGCATCAGTAACGCGCATGAAGCGCTTAAATAAGCCCATGCCAATGGTTCTTGTTCTATTGAGCAGGGACCAGAAGTATATCATCGAGGTCAAAGACCTTCTGAGCATGAAGGTTCAGGTTGAACCTCAACACTCAAAAGCTTCGGTGGGTCAGTGCCACCGATGCCAACGCTTCGGTCACTGCCAAAGCAACTGATTAGCAGTCCCCATATGCGTAAAGTGCGCCGGCAGGCATCTAACCATTGCCTGCAAAAAGGTTAGGACTGACCCCCCGAAATGTAACAATTGCAAGGGGGCCCACACCGTCAACTACCATGGCTGCCCGGCGTACCCGAAGGTACAGCAAAAGGGAAAGTCTTCCGCCAGGAAGCCAGATGGAAAAGTTGTTCGTACACTTCCCCGTGTTACAGAAAATGTTCACGGTGAATACTGACGTGATAAACGGAACTGTCAATGTCTAGACAACCAACATTGCCTAGGTCTCTGAAGATAGTTTTTTGGAATGCTAATGGCATTCGTTCTGAAAAACTCGACTTTGAGAACTTTTCAACTGAAAACAACATCGATGTGGCTCTAGTTCAGGAGACACATCTGAGGAACGAATCTATTGTCATTCCAAATTACAGATTCTTTCACAGAGAACGTGTTGGACGTGCTGGAGGGGAAATTGGCATTTTTGTCAAATGATCCCTCCAGTGTGACCAATACAGATCAACAGAAGATTAAAAATGAGTCTTAAAAACAAGATTATCATCTATAATACGATGTTCAAGCATGTCATCATGTATGCTTCAGGCGTCTGGGGACAAGCGGCGAAATATAATATCTCCATTTTGGAGGTATTGCAAAACAAATTAATGAGGATGATTGTGAATGATCCTTGGTTCGTGCGGAATGAAGCCATTCGCAGAGATTTGCAGCTGCCTTCCATGCGGAAGTCCATTCAGTCGAGAAATCAGAGAGTTTTTGATGGTGCAGAAGCTCATGAAAACCCATTAGTCAGGGAAGCTATGGATTATACTGTAGACGACCCCTCCCGATATAGAAGGCAGGAGCGGTATATATCAAAAATACGCGACGTACTGTGGCTGCTCATCGTTTTGAGGTTCAACTCAGTACACATCTAACTTCACTGTTTAAGAACTCTTTCATTTGGAGAACTGCGTTTATGTCGAATAAACTTCCTGAGAATGTTTCTCCAAATGGATTTAATCTCCAGTGATTCAAATCCCATGTGAATCGCTACTTTCGCACAAGCACCGCTCTGAGAGCACCTAAAGGATTTTCCTGTAGTGCTTGTGTTTTGTTCTTGAAAAAAATTTCATATGAAAAGTAAAATATCGTTTAATATTAGTGATGATTAGAAGGAATTTGGTGTTTGGTTGTTGTGAGAAAGTGCTGAAAAAATCGATATGGGATTTATTTCATTTGACGAAACGTAGATATTCTCTCATGAACCAGAAATCTTGCAATAATCCACTCTTTGGATATTTTGAGATAGACTTAATGCCACAAAGATTTTCGTTCATAAAGCACTTCAAGAAAGAAGGTTTGTTTTGCGGCTTCATAGGAAATAACAACATATTCCTCAGAAGATTTGAAAATCAGTTAACTTGGTATGATACGAAATGATACATTTCTCAATAACTATGGAACGAAATTTTTGAAAACAACCTGATACGACTAGATAACACTAGCTTCTATTTAGCATATGAAACAACTGGAAAATATATATCGATTTATCCAAATTCTCCTAACTAATCGCTTAACAATTTTCTTAATCTTCTTAATGTAACAAGAAAAATGCGTGGAGAGCAATTTTTATTACATTTTCTCGCCCCCAAGACTTTGACAAACGTTTCACCAACTGAAGTAAACTGTAGGTAATCTCAACAAAGCAGTAGAACTTCACGGACATATTTGATTTTCCATATTTTTAATTGATTTATATGTATATAATGAAACTAATCGAATATCTTCCAGACACATCCGTTGAGGAGAACATCCGAAAACAGGTTGACTTTTAGTTCAAGGTGACATCTTTCTATCATCAATTCATAAAATATACCTACTTCATTGCCAGAAAACAAATACATATCGTAGACACAGTCTCATCAATATTGATGTTGATGATATTGATAATAATGTTTCTGGACAAAACCCTTCAAAAACCAATCAATATAAATAAAAATGAATATATAAAATACAGAGATGAGATGGGCATAGAGTTGAATTGAAAAATACAAATACAATAGCTAACATAAAAATTTGAATATACTCAGCGAATAAAAATAAGTTCGCAAATGTATCAAGACTCGAAAGTAACATTAAAATTATCCTGGACTGTTAATAGACCCCATCAATCTACTGTACACCAAGATTTATTACTCTTGGCAGGTGATTGTATAGTTTAATACCATTGAAAATAATTGAGTTCCTAACTATAAGAAGAAGTGTGGATCACACAAGAAAAATGATATTTCTATAGAAGAGATAGTTTCCAAAATGTATAACCTAATATTTACATACCACGAGTTTTGAAAAGAAGTTTGCATGTAACATGACCCCAATTGTCATACCTTTTTTCCCGACACCTGGTGACCAACTTCGGAGAAAACAACTGTTCCATATTTCGAATTATGATACTTCATTTGGAAGATAATGTAAACAAGTCATATGATCTAGGAATTGAATGAAAAAACAAATAAAAAATATTCACAATATATTACGAATCGTAATATGTGACGAGTTTCGCTATTTTTATAGCGTATCAATTATAATTTATAATTATTTACATAATTTCAAACTTCTTTAAATAGCGATAAGCGTCACATATTACAAGTCGTAATATCTTGTGGACTTTTAAAAAACAAGTGTTTTTTCATTCAATCCCCAGTCATTATGGATATCCATCAAGTAATGGTCAAATCAATCAGGAAATCACCAACCAAGTTAGCGTCTTCAGACGAAGTTGACTACAGTATTTCACAGTTGATACTCGAACTGTTCTGCATTATCTGCCCTGTCATGACATTTTTCGCTAAAGACCTCATGGGTGCATTCCTTATTAAATTACCGTTTCAATTATGTTTTCCATTAAAATTCTAAGGGCGATGATCATCAAGGAACGAGGGAGAATCTATAACAGTTGAGATTATGATCCATAGATGTTATCCTTGAATCTGAAATGGACCAATTTTTTCCTCAGCAAATTTGTCTTGAAGATATTCGATCAGTTTAGATTTCGAAGCTGCATACTTGGCTCTATATTAAAAAAATTGAACCGAAGTGTTTTGTCTCTTCAAATGTTCAGAAATGGTTTTCATAAAAAATCGAATGTAGGTTATGTGAAATATTACGAATCTCTCTTTATATTATCATCAAATAATTCATAGAGATATACATATTTGGAGTAACTATAGAGGATTATATGTCTCACAAAATAGTTTGTATTCCATTAACAGATTCTTGTGCATAAAAGATTGCATTATTTAGATGAGGTTAATCTGCTAGATCTTATTATTGCCAAAACAATTATCATCAGGATGCTTTCAATGAATATCAAACAACTGACGAAACGATCTTATGCTTCACAGAGTAACTTGGAAGGGTATGACAAACATATATAAAAGTATTTGGGGAAGAAATATTCCTGCAATTAACGCAAATTGTAGCTTACCCAAAATCAATATGTAACAACTCAATTGCAGCATTTTTCTTTTCTACAGAGCACTACAAGAGAATGATACATAATGGCTATAAAATTCACTATTTATACTGCATTTGACACCATCATTGAAATAGAAAACTTCCTTCACTTGAAATCGGATTCAGTTATTTAATTGAATCACGACCGGCACATTCTACTCAAAAAGCGTAAAATTGTCATGGGCAGGAATTCAAAGATACAAACTCTTTTCTTACTGGTCAGTAAAAAAGTTCAACAATGAAAGTGGTAATGAAAATAATAGAAAACACACAATATTCACAGACAGAAGTCATTGATGGTGAGATGATTACTTAGCATTTAAAATATAAATGAAACTCTCTCTCCAAAGTATCTTTCAAGAAACAGGGTGTTTATGAAACTATTTTCGAAAAACTCTTGTCGTATTGCAAATAAAAATAGATCCTCTGAAAGATCTGAAAATGATTCCCATTTCATGAAATGCTCGATGTATATATGAAAATTATTGAAGTTTTTTCCTAACACTAAACCGTTATTTTAATAACTCGACATGTGTTTCGATCACCAAAGCATCTTCCTCTTGAAAATGATCACTTGGTGATCGAAACACGTGTCGATGTGTTAAAATAACGGTTTGGTGTTTGGAAAAAACTCCAATAATATTCATTACTACACCAAAGGTTCCCAACAGTGCATCACAAGTATTTGTATATATGTTATTTATCACTAGCTTTTATAGGAAAAACAGAGTTCTGCAAGTCCTGGATACCTACTAGTGAGTTTATATGAGGTCTGCTTGTCAACGATGGTTCTGATCCATCCATCTATATTTCTCCGTACTGGTTAGTCCAAGGATGCTAAAATTTGGTATATAGTTGCTTCTTAGGTCTTATATGCGCACTCAGGAAGGCCTTTCAAGTATTCTGACTGGGGTGCCTCCATGGGGGTTAGATGGGTGCATTTAATCAGGGTGTCAATTTGAAAACTTGTCAACTTGCTTGTCAACGATGGTTCTGATCCATTCATCTATGTTTCTCCGTACTGGTTAGTCCTAGGATGCTAAAATTTGGTTTATAGTTGCTTCTTAGGTCTTATGTGCGCACTCAGGAAGGCCTTTCAAGTATTCTGACTGGGGTGCCTCCATGGGGGTTAGATGGGTGCATTTAATCAGGGTGTCAATTTGAAAACTTCCCACCCTCAATATCTTTCTTCTAGTAAATAATATGAGGTATTGAAAAAACAGGTCTATTTTATAGTCAAGGAGCACACTTTCCAGAATTATTTTTAGCCCTCGTGGTTCAACCCCCAGGGAGGAGTAGATGTTACCCTTAGAATTTTGAATGGGAAGGAGTGTCAAGTAGCACATCATTTTGATGGGCATTCAATCCTGCTTCCAATGATACCCTGACTTTTTATTTTTGATAAGCAGTAGCAAATAGCGAAGAACTGGCAAGAATTTGCCTGTTCTAAGATACATTATTGTATTGACTCCTTTTGATAAAAATGGTTAGAAGAGTAGGTGGCACCGTTGCAACCCTTGAATGACAGGAACAAATGTATTACGCGTGGGATTTTTTATTTATTGGTTATTTTTCTTGTGCAAAATAAAATTTAATATGCGAGAAAGACATTTCAAACCGAAAATCTACTCAGGTTTATCTTATCAACTGTCGTCCATTTTGCTCTAAACATTGATGAAGTCTGTTTTCGAGCGCCCCTATAACATTACGGAAAACTTACTAGAATTTGACTGGCATGCTGCTGTAATTCGTCTTTTTAGTTCTTAAATATCAGAAAGTTGTGTTTCATAAATAACGGATTCAAGATGCCCCAAAAGAATAAATTCTAAGGGTGTTCAATCCGGTGATCTTGGTAGCCATTCAACTGCTCCCTTTCTGCCAAGCCATCTATTCGGAAGTCTCTCGTTTACCCACTGTTGGACGGGAGGAGAATAATGAGGTGAAGCACCGTCCTGCTGAAAATGTAACAGATCCTTCTGCATTACCTTCTACATCTATTCGAGTTTCTGGCTCGTGAGTTATGAGAGAATCGATAGTCTCTTCAAGCATTTCGAAGTACAGATGGCCAGTCAAGTTTTATCTCAGAAATAATATACCAATAATGGCATTTCAGAGTATACCAGCCAAAACATCAAATTTTTGTGGGTGTTGTGTATGTCCTTCCCGAAAAATATGTGGGTTTTCGTCACACCAATAGCGATATTTCTGTCTATTAACATCGCTATTCAGAAAAAATAATGAACCGTCATCACTAAAACAGATATTCAACAGAAGATTAGGGATGGTATTGACTCTTCTATCATAATCATCCTCGTGGAGCTCTTGAAGAATCTGCATTTTATAAGGATGAAATTTACGAATTTTCAATGCTTTTCTTACAGTATCGCGTGACATTTCCGTCGGATCCGATAATGATCGTGAGGAGCCCGTGGGCTCTGCAGCAAATGTTCCCAAATCTTTGATTTTTGCTGCTTTATTTAGTACTCTGGGGTTATTTTTTTTTTATTTGTCATTAAACCACTTTCGTAAAACTTATTGAACAAATCAAGCACAAACCGGTGACTAAGATTACAATTACATATACACTTATTAAAGTAATCACTGAACAGCGCAAAAGGTGCAACTGCATGCACAATACTATCACATCGTTCAAATTTGCGAACCAATTTTTTACCGAAAACAAAAGCTTTTTACAGCAGAAATAGCAAAAATGGATGGTTATCAATATCGGTGAAGATGTGCCTCCGTAGTCTGGAATGCAAATGTAATGACTAGACAAGGGTGCTGTCGTCAGCGAAGCAATATATTGGATTCTTGTTTTTTTTCAATAAGTCGTTGATATACAATAGAAAGAGTGTTGGAGACAATATGGATTCCTGGGGAACACCAGCGTTGATGGTGAAAGTATTCGCCACATATCCATCGACGGCCATCTGCAGGAAAAATTCTTCAGGAAGCTGAAGAGCCATACACAAAAATGATCCGACAAGCCATAGCATCGAAGTTAGGCCAGTAAACCCTCAAGCCACACACGGTCAATGGCCTTAGAAATATCAAGCGCAAAAGCTCTTGATTCTCCATGTTTCTCGATTGCGTTATTCCAAATATAGGTGACAACAAGAAAAAAAACCCCCTTTCTTGTAAGACAGGTGAAGAAGTTTGCAAAATACTGGTGCGAGTTCAATTGCGCACTTTTTAAGTACGATGACGGGCACTTCATCATTGCCAGAAGCCTTGTTGATATTGAGATGTTTCAATATTCGCCTGACTATACACTGTTGAAAAGTAATCAAAAAATAACCATTTATCTCTTTTTCATAATGAATTTTTCCAGTGGAGTAATTTTTTCTCAATATTATTGACTGCTTTGTCCATTAACATGAACACTGGACCTGATAATTTTAATCAATTTCGGATAAAATTAGCGTCTTATAAATTCAAATGACTGCACCAGATTTCAACCAAGACCAATTCAATCATCCACTCTTTATAAAACAATTTGTTTGAGTTATTTTTATTTTAGTGCCGTTTCACAAAGGACCGATGATCAGCACTGACGATCGGTCGCTACCGATCATCGGTCGAATAAAATTCTTTTCACATACGACTGATCATCAGTCGTCAACATGTATGTGAGAAGTACACAGCATCGCGTTGTTGTCGCTTTGTGCGTGAAAAGGTTGATAGAAGGGAAAAAAAAAGAAACGAAACTCCAGAAATATTTGGGTTCATCCTTTATGTCTACAGAGGCCAATAAAAGGTGCTTTCGTAACCCTTTATTCAAATTTGCGAGAAGATCCACGTAACTTCTTTATGTATTTTCGGATGTCCATTTCTTCGTTTGACGAACTGCACCACAAGCTAGAAAATGATCTAAAATTTTCGGATCGTATTAGGGCTTCAATTTCTTCAGTGGAAAGATTGAGTGTAGCACTAAGGTGAGCTTTTTCGAAAATAATTAACATCTACGTAATAAATATATATAAGCATCCTAAATACATGGTTTTTGTTTTATTGCAGTGATTAAAAGTTCGGTATCAAAACGATATTTTTCTGCCATTTTGCGTTTCACACACCACAAGAAAGAACAGCAAAAACGTAAAATTTGCTCACCGCAACATGACAATTCTGCATTGAAACCGCAACTGATGATCCGCTTGCAAGTGAAAAGATCTATTTATCAAATGGCTTTGACTCCTCCAACCGATGATCCGCACACGCCAAGGGCTAGACCGACGCCCGTGCGTTTTTCATCGGTCGACCGATGATACGCAGACATGTGAACGATCAATTTAAAACAATGGACTAGACGGATTGTCAGAGCTGATGATCGGTCCTTTGTGAAACGGCACTTTAATGTAACCGGTTATCTGTAAATATACAAAAACCAAGCACTGCGACTAAAATATTCGTCTTTTGAGCAATACGAACCTGTATTTGCACATATAATTACTGTTATCACTGAATAATGACTGAATATCACCTATAAAAGACAACAAAAACAATGTTAATTACATCAGTTGAAACAAATAGAGGTGAGTTGAAACCATGTTACAAATTCTTAGATATTTCAGAAAACTTCATAGTACCAATATGAATGCATTGTTTTATTACTTCTTTTTTATCCAACAAATGAGTCAGTTGAAACTGAATATTTTTAATGAAAGATCTCCACGAATGACGAAAGTTAATTATACTACAAATCAAGTATTCAGGGGTAGAATTTTCCGAGATTTCATAGCCGACAAATCTTTCATTACATCGTCTAATCCGTTGGTTCAGTGTTATTTTTTCAGGAATCCGTATCGATCAAATTATCAAAATAATTTTTTACATCGAATCCAGAGTTTCTATCAAGGTAATTCAATAATTGAGTAATATCGCATTATTATTGAGAAGCCTTTTATGATCTTCATGCATATGCTTTAGGAATGTGTTTCTATAATGAATCAATTTTCGAGATTAGGATTATACCTTTGTTTGAGGCATATCGAGATACAAGTAGGAGTACCATTTATTATTTATAATATACCACAAATTTCATTTTTGATGTGATTGAATAGATATTGGATCAACTTCAAAAAGTCTTCTCTGAGAAATCGAAAAGACTCTTGTGAATAAAAATGTTTCGGTTAGACAACATAATTATTTACAATGCGCTTCCATAAACCGAGGATTACCACAGAAATATGATCGTTGAGATGGAGTTTATGTGAATTTTTGGTTCTATAATAATAGCGGTGCCTATCAAGGAATATTTTTTGTGAGAGACCAGTTTCTGAGAAAAAGCTTTTTGACCTTTTACTTTTCCATCATTCAACAAAACATGTAGGGAGCTTTCGAAAAAAGAACAGAAATCAAAGTAACATTTGAAGCACTCCTTTCTTCGAAAGTTTTCCACAGTTATTGTAAAATGATGGAGGAGTAAGGCCAAATTTTTCTCTGTGCAAGATTTTCTTTCGCTATGAAATAGGTGAGTGGTTTCAATCAGTCCATATTGTTCAAGCTCTAATCTTTTTTCGTATTCAGTGTGACCTATTTTCTCCATTAGTTTCTTCAGTGATGACTTTCGTCAAGATATTTTGCAATTACCGAAGTATACACCATTCCAATTAACTAATTCCTTTTATTATACATAATGGATGTATAAAAGCAGTTCTCAAGCGAATCATGAAACGGGGTAAGAAAAAATGTCACAATGTCACAATGTCACCTGATATTATGTCCCAGTTTCCACATTTGAAAAAAAATAGTAACGGAAGTTATTGCTCGAATTGTAGAATCTATTGATTTCCAAACATTCTAGAAGGTTGGGTTCCAAACTCTTCTCTTCTAAATGTAACACGTATGATTACTAATTCCTTTTATTATTCATAATGGATGAATAAAAGCAGTTCTCAAGCGAATCATGAAACGGGGTAAGAAAAAATGTCACAATGTCACCTGATATTATGTCCCAGTTTCCACATTTGAAAACAAAAATAGTAACGGAAGTTATTGTCCGAATTGTAGAATCTATTGATTTCCAAACATTCTAGAAGATTGGGTTTCAAACTCTTCTCTTCTAAATCTGTCTGTTTGAAATCTGTTTTTCCGTTAACCAGCTGTCGCACCCCTACGAACGACAACCCTCAAAAGTAGAAACTTGTGCGAGCTAAGGATTAACGAGGTCTTACCTTTTAACGTGTGATTCCTAACACGGGTTGGACGGTAGCAAGTGAAGATCGATCGTTCAGACTAGGGCTTGAACCACCGACCAACACGGCAGTCAATTCGAGTGAGTGAACAAAGCACCCACGCCGAACCGCTTGGCTACCGACTGACCCTTCTAAATGTAACACGTATGATTGAATTTATGGCCTTCTGGAAAAGTGGTTTTCAAATATGGAATTGGTCCTTCTATTCACATAACTACCTCTATGCCTTTCAATTCTTCGGTAAAATTTTCTTCCTGTTTAGCCAATATATAGTTTTGGGCAAGAGCCATTAGTCAGCTCATATACTCCTGATTCATCCGACGATGACAGTACGTAATGACATTCATTCACTTTTCCGAATAAATTGCAGCCACAGGACTCTTGTTTGAATTGAAAAGGGTATATTTTCAGGAGAGAGTGATTTTTAGGAAAAAAATGCAATGTATTTCAATAGTTATATGAAAGTAGTTGTTTCGAAACGGCTGACTGCTCTTTTCCTTTCATTGTAAGATTTCCACTTTTTGTCATAAAAATTGAGAAAGAGAATGTCAAAACTTTTCCTTTCTTAAAATTAATCTCTCCTAAAAATATCCCAATCAGGTGCTGGAGACTGGTCTTCGGAAAATTATTTTCTTGGCTGTCATAACGTTGGCAACACGTATTTTTTAGGATGGAAAAATACGTGTGGATAAAGATGTATTATTTTTCCTTTGAGCCAACAGTTCCGAGGTGCATTACGTTCATAGATGGGCAAAATATCATCTATTTTGAGAAGATTCTGTTCATTGTGCCATTTGCTTCTTTTGATTAGTGATGGTACATACTCACGTGATCAATGTTGCCAGAATATATCAGCAATCTTCTGAGCTGCCTTCTGCGAAGGCTGTCCTCAAGACATATTCTTGGGGATCTTTCCCTTAAAATTTCTTTCAAATGTTTTTTGATGGATTGTATCAAACGTTCCCATGCATCACCCATATGCGGTGCTAGCGGTGGGTTGAAAGTCCATTTAGCATTTTTCAGTGTGCAATATTTTTGAATTTTCTCTTGGTCCATATTCTGAAGATTTTCTGCCAGTTCCGCTTCCGCTCCTTTGAATTTGGTTCCATTATCGCTAAAAATTTCTTCTGAGAAACCTCTTCTGCAACCAAATTGTCTGAATACATGAATGAATCCATTAGTGTTCATATCTTGAGCTATTTCTAAGTGGACAGCTCTTGTAATAATACAAGTAAATATTACACCATATCGTTTCTCGCGTGATCTTTTGACAGTTATTTCAGTTGGTCCAAAATAGTCCACTCCGGTTTTGATAAATGGCCTCACAATGGGTTCGAGTCAACAAATTGGCAATTTTTCCATCAGAGGTATTTTCAGAGTACTTCTTCTGTATCGGCAAATTTGGCAATTTGCCCAACAGCTTCGAACTGCTTGGCGAATTTTGGGAATGCAATATTCTTGAAGTAGATTATTGACAACCGTTTCTTGACCATGATGGTTTAAGAGTTCATGGTGGTATTTGACGATTAATTTTGTGGTTTCATGTTTGACATTCAATATGACAATATTTCTTAAGGGTATGATTCAAACTATACCTTTTTCCATAACTGAATTTTTGCTCTGTTCAATTCCAGTACATCAAGTTCCCCATCTATTCTGTTTTTTCTGCAATTATTCACGAATCTGAACATCCATGCGGTTGAACGTAGTAATTTTTGCCATTCAGAAAAATGTTCAACTTGTGGAGTTTGGATTTCACTTAGCACAGTCTGTACGCAAATAAAATCTTTCCTCATTTCTAATTCTGCTTGATCGTAACATTGCTTGATTGAACAGTCTTTTCTGCAAACATCTTCTTTCGGCAAATATTCAAAATCTTTCCATAGAAAGTCAGGACCATTTATCCATCTGCTTTAGCTGACAAATTCATTTTACCATAACTTTTGGTCCCTTCATCTGCAACGTTCTGCTTTAACGGAACATACTTCCACTCAAAAACGTTGCTTAATTCTTGTATTTCTCGAAGACGTTGTGCAACGAACATTTTAAATCGTCTTGCTTCTGAACGTATCCAATGGAGTACGGCTCATTCAGTTAGAAGAAGCCTGTCAGAATAGTTATCATAAAAGGTAGTCTGCCACTCATTTTTTAAAATTTGGGAAATTCACCTCTTGGGGGTGAATGAATTGGAAATGGAATGAAATCAAAAACCATTAATTTCTTGATAATGATCTCTTCACAGTGCCATTTTGAACCATTCGAGCTCAGAAATCGAAACATTCAATCTATTGAATATACTTCTTCTATAATAGAACACAAAAACTGTCTCTCGATCGCGTTTCGCTAACCAGTTAGCATCATCAGGAGATAACTGAGTCATCCAAGCTAGTATCACTAGGAGATGACTTTAGAGATTCAGTTTTCATGTTCTGGTGTGTAAAAAGTATTTGCAATATATTAATTTCACGCTACAGGTACCAAATCCTTCTCATCAAGTTTATTTTGACTGTATTTTTATGTCTTCATATTATAGTGCGACATTTTCATTCCATTCTACCCTAAACTAAAAAACTATATGTTTTTTGTATTTGTGTTTCAGATTCCATTCCATATCGAAAAAATCAAAATGAAGACCAATTTCACTGGTATCATTGCGAGTCTAGCATTTTTTGTCATCCTCTTCATTTCTTGCACTGCAGCCTTCGAAGTAACAGTGAACTATGTCAATGAACAAGCTCAGTTGCGCTCCCTTGTTGTTACAGGACTGTCTTCAACAAATACAGTAAGGGAACTTCAGCAGAAGCTTGCGGAACAGCATTTGGAATTGGTATACGATAACAGAGTACTCAATAAAGACAGTACTTTGGGCGGGAATAGAGTTGATGGAAGTCGTCCATTGGTCTTGCAGTGGAATTGATGCGTTTCATTATTGTAGACGAAAATAATGTATTTCACTGTCAAGAATAAACATTATTGGGGCTTTTGAAAAGGGAGTCAATTATATGATGACCCATGACTAACGATCGATTTTCACTTGCTATCGTCCAACCCGTGTTAGGAATCACACGTTAAAAACTCGCAGTGCTTCAGCACATATAGTGTTGTCAGCTTGGTCAGTCCGAATCTTCTGTGAAAGGCGATATCATTCATCTCTTCGAAATAGTTGGGTCTCCCAAAAATTCTTCGTGGAAATCCAAAATCAGTGATGTGTAAGATGACATCATTGACTCCCAGCATGATTTTATCCTCTAGTTCTGTCATTCTGCAAAAACTGATCCATTTACTAAAACATTTCAGCAAAACGACAATTGCATTATTTCCAGAACTAAAGAATAATAAGTGGAGTTATGATGTCTACATAAGCTTGCCTTTACATATAAAGCCACCGAATTAAGCCGCTTACATTTAAGCGAACTTATGGTCTTTTATTCAGCGGCGGCTCGTCTGAGGAGGCAAGGGAGGCTTAGCCTCACCATAAAATTTGAGGCTATTCATCGCAATAAATTAAAAGATATTGACAAATGATTATGTGCGATTTATTGATACGGTGCATACAAAACTGAAGCGTTAAGTATAAGTTGAAGTAGGTATCGAAGAAGTTATAGCTTCAAAAAATTCTCAGTGCTTCAAAAATAAAATAAAAAAACTATTCAAACTGATTTATTTCTCTCAGCTTGCCTTCTGTTTACTTGCAAGTAGTTTATTATTTAAAAATTTTTTGAAAACCTCAAAACCAATCGTAAGGCCTCTAACCGTCCACCTAATAATCAATTTCGTGAGTTTGACTGAAAGATAAAGCCCAAACAACAGGATTGCAATCACATCCACCATGAAATATTGGAAAATGGGCATGTCAGCGGCAGGGCTGCGAAGATGTCTCGCACCCTTGTGTCTGATAACATGCTCAATCCACCAGACAGCTTTATCTAGTCCATTCATTGGTTGGTCCTGGATGAGTTCTCTAGCTTTTACTACTCGTTCTCGGTACCTGTAACAAAATAAAACATTTGTGAAATTTGATATTGAGGAAAAC